ACTGTTTATTAATTTCACACAAATACTCCTAAGACAAGTCCGTGTGTGTGATCAGATTGTTCAAAATGTGTTGCGCAAATACAACATTACACGATTCAGACAATTTACGTCTTCTTATTGCTTTGTCTAAATGATAATAATAATAATAATGCATTTATTAAAGTGGAATGAACAAGATTTTATAAATACGATAACAATTTAGAAAAGCATTACTTAAACCTAAGTTAACAGAAATAATAAGAAAGGTCATGAAATCCTAAAAGGTCAGAAATGAACATATATCAGTGAAACAAAGGAATTCATAAAGGGAACTAATAGTTTTAGATAAACTCTCAGTTGATGACATACGGATTTGAGTGTTATTTAGGTATCATTACTCATGTCTGTTGGCCTTTCTTTATTCATTTCTCTGTCTAGTCAGTTTGTGATTCATAATCATCTACCCTAATATTATCTAACTTTAGCATTTCCACTCACTGTCAATCTTTAACACACATACACGAGAAAACTAAATGTTACTGTCTATTGTAATTCATGCGTCAATATGACTGTAAAGCTATGAAAATGATGTCACCGGAAAGATAATTTTCTTTCATGATTTCATCACTAGCTGACATTGGTTGGGGAACCATTGAAAACCTAGGATTACTGGATAGCTGTCTCCTACTTCCTAGTTTGGGACCCACCACAGGGTTTCTAACCCAGGATCTTCTGGTTACGGTGCCAGCTTGTAGACCATTAAGCCACTGGGATCGCATCCGATGGCCACCCTATGAATTCCAACTTCCGTCGATTCACCATATAATGGGACCATCTGTTGTACCCTAGTGGTGACGACTTCCCACTAAAACCCGGTTAGCTGCCTACCTGAAGACTTCCAAATTAGGGTGAAACGGTTGTCCAGTGTTGACATGCTTTCCAGTGGTCCTCTAACCGATAAGCAAGTAAACTACATTGAATTAGTCATACAGAAAGACAGGTGCGAATATTTTCCAGGTCATGTTCAAATAGATAAGGGAAGAGAGAGTATGAGAGATCAAAATTATAATAAATTGCATTACGCTTCAATTACATCACTTAGATAAACAATTAGACATTAGAGAATATAACAAGAATTGCAAACAGAGTAATATCAATAGTAATAGTTATAATAACAATAATAATAATAGTGTTGAAGTGAGGTGAGATAATGCTACTGATAAAGGATAGTTTTAATTGAGTCAGGAATAATATAAATAATAGTAATAATAAGAGGTAGAATAATAAGTGAAACGTATTACCATGGTAGATTCAGAGTCATAGCCGTCTCCTTTTGTACACAGAGACCTGGTTTATAAATTCGTATTGCACAAACCTCCGCAATTGCAAGCATTTTCGTAGTTTCTTTGTCTGCTGACAATAGTGAATGACTTGACAGCATCTATTTCATGTCCTTTAGTACACAAGATGTTTTGTTATTGAGAATTTCGACACTTTGCACTCAGCTGTTTTCAACCATTTTGGCAAATGCTCCATCATGCGAGTAGACAATCGCCTTTCTGTACGACTTGTGTATTTGCTTCCACAAATACACTCAAACTGATATATGCGGTTTGAAGTGTCGAGGATTGGTGACTGGTCTTTCCCAGATTATTGAAGCACTCGCTTAGTGGTATTAGAGAAAACAAGTTTTACAGCATAATAAGTTTTCTTGATGGCTTTGTCGAGTCTTCGTTTGACTACTTCCTGTACATCATCTCCTTTGAACGGCAAACTGATATAGACAGGTTTCTTCGGAACTGTTTGGATTGTTTTGCAGGGGCTAATTTCTTTAGAGTATTTATTAATGAACTTCTCAGGATATCCATTCTTAGATAAAATATCCTTCAGAGATTTTATTTCATGCTCAATAGTACTGTCAGAACAAATTTTTCGTGCTCTATTGAACACTGTTCTGACTAAGTTCTTTTTATACTAGATTGGAACAAAACTCTTGAAATGCATGTACTGTCATGTCCATGGAGACTTTCTAAATATAGATCTTTCGATTGTGCCATCATTCACTCTCGCTAATGAAGAAATCCCGTAACCAATCAAATCCCTGTAAACTAACACTTGAATAATTTTCTTCGCTGTAATCTTTGTTTCACGTCTTGATCTGGATTATTAACTTGATTTTAAGTGCTCCAAATAGGTAATGTAAACTTCCATGTGATCTTCCAATTGACAATCTCAGTAGGCCAATGACTTTGATTCAACCATCTTTGACTCATTCCTATACTAATCTTACGTTAGTCAACCGCAATTATCACACAACACTGACTCCGAACATGTAACATCCAACGACAGTTTGTGTGACTTGTCTTTCTGATCTACAATTGTAACGTCGAGACCACAGAGTTGCAGTTCCAAGGCATGATTGGAAATCCGTAGAAATCTGGAGCATCCTCAGCCTTTATCTGCCGTATGATGGAGAAGATTTGTACCTCAGGTGGACGATTTTAATGTGGTTGTGTTCACTGAGCTGGATAGTGATTTATTTGAGAAGCTTTCATTGCTCGTCCTACTAGACAACATTTTCAGCGCGCATACTTCAATTTGTTGAAGTGAGCTTTTGGATTCTTCCACGAGTTTATTAGTCCTCTCTCCTGATGGGTAACCAGGAGTATGCACTGAAGATGTTGCCTAGTAGGGCAATGAAAGCTTCGCAAATAAACCACTATCCAGATCAGAGAACACAACCACATCAAAAAATTTATCTGTTGTGTTTCGCAATTATGAAATGATGCTGAGTAGACTAGACGAAATGTTATCAACCAAGTGAAAGGTGCCGAACTATTATTATTATTACTGTTATATGATAAGAACATTCTAGAAAATCTCGATTTAGCTGACGATTCACGTCTAATTTCATACAAACCCAAAGAGTTACAGGAGAAAACCAGCAAGTCAGCAGAAGAGACTGGCAGCAAACACAGGACTTCAAGTGAACATTGGGGAAGACAGAGGTGATGAAGATAACCAACCAGCAGCAACAAACACTAATCGCTGTCAACGGAATAAATTTGAAAGTAGTCACTTCTTCCACTTATCTAGGCAGAAACATTTCAACTAGATGCGACAACACAGATGGGCAAGACATTCATCACTCTGAAATCAGTGTGCGAATCTTCTGTACTCCGCAGCAGAGGCAACAGGCAAAATCCAGATTTTCAACTCCAATACTTAGCTGGTTCTTCTATATGTGTCAGAAACTTGGTGAGTGAGTCACGAAACGCATATCCAACAGGCCATTGAGAAATTTTATCAACACCTCCTTTCGCTGTCTCCATAGTGAAGATCAGATGGCTGGTTGGGAAGAATTTGAAACAAGAAACTCTGGGAATGAACCAATCAATGAAAAACCTATTGGTCAACAAATATTCCGAAGAAGATGAACATGGATCGAACACCCTCCACTGAGGGGATAGTCGAATGAAATTAAGTGTCATGTATAATGATTCCTTATCTTCGTGCGATCAATCATTCTAGCGTTAGCTAAATTCTTATTTTCTGACAGGCAATCTCACTGCTCCTGATCTGCTAGTTTGATCTATGTAGTTGACCCCACTCACAGTTATTGCAAAGTATTTCGCAAATTATATTATTTTATTATATTATATTATTTTAAAAGGATGAAATAAAACGGATAGAAGAGGCGTTGGTGTTAAATAACTAACTATCCTGTAAAATTCATTAGGAATATCAAAAAAGGACAGAAGCAGATCGAAAATAATCGTGAAACTGATAATGATAACATAAATAAGAAAGAATATGTCATCTACTGTTATACCATATAAGGAAGGGACATCTGAGGCCCTACGTAGGATTCTTAATACAGCAGGAATTAGGGTGGCATTCAAACCTACCAACTCACTCAGAGACAAGCTCTGTAGGCAAAAAGACCCGGTGGACCCAAATAAACAAAATAATATAATTTACAAAATACCTTGCAATGACTGTGAGTTAGGTCAACTACATAGATCAAACTAGCAGATCAGGAGTAGTGAGATTGCCTGTCAGAACATAAGAATTCAGCTAAGGTTAGAATGATTGATTCGACGAAAATAAGTAATTTAGAAAAAAACTAAGCAATTGCACTGCATGCATTAACATGCAACCACACAATTGGGTAGGTGGGACAGAGTCAAAATTCTAAAATGTGATGTAGGTAGGTGGAGAGCGAGAGAGATTGATAACTGAATCCTGGTTCATTGAGTCTACACCCAACACATGCAAAAGAAATGACTCAATGGAAATACCACAGATATACATGGAAGATATTATTACCACCGGTCAAATCAGAGGAGGATAATAAATAATCTTAAAATGTATTCAATTCACATTCTAACATTCTAACAAGTTACTTATTTTGACTATGAAAACATCTTATTCCCCATCTGATTGCATTTGATTGATAACACCCATGTTATTATTTCTGAATGTACATTATCCTATATTGATCTTATTCAAATGTCTAATCATCAATTCCACTCATGTATATAAATGAAGCAAGAAAGGTGTGTAAGTAGTGCCTCGATATGATTATTAGTGGCAAAAAATCGTGCTCGAAACGTAGTCATCAGTAAATATTACTGTCTAACACTGTGTGATTTATCAAAATAAAATCTTATCCATAATGGAGTTATTCTCTACCACAGCGCCCAAATTTTATGCGTATGTCAATATCGCTGATTATTTCTCCTGTTGTTAGCAGTAAATAGGTCAACACTGTCAAATTTTCTAATCTGACAACAAGTCGAATCACTAATCCATCTTTAGTGTGAAGGATTTTCATTGCATACACATTTAATCCATATTCTGTGACAAAATTGTGTCATAAAATACTTCAATTTTATGACTGTTAAATCTCTATTCCAATCGATTTAACTGCCTATCATTTGTCAGGTCTTAGAATATTCAAAAAAGGATAGTTATATAAATACCCTGTAAGCTGAACTCTTCTCTCTGTGTAGGTGTGTGAGTGTTCCTGCATTTGAATTCATCAAAATATATACAGAAAGCCGGATGATGACAATTTTACATGTTAGTGAAATTTCATTGGAGTCATTTTTATCTGTTAATTCTTATTGTATTGTATTCTTATAGGTACCATTGGTTGTTATTTCTATACTGTATTATGCTCAACCTGGAGGTTAGTCATTCCTTTATAAAAATTAAATATATTTCTTCATTCATTATCATTACAGTATATTATTATTATCGTTTCCTTTAATTCCTAGAGGAACATAGGGCTTCAGCCGTACGTCTCCATTGCCTTCGGTTCTCTGCTAGAGTTTTCACCTGGCTCCAAGTCTGCCCACACGTTTTCATCTCCTCTTCACATGACTTCCTCCAAGTCACCCTCACACTGACGACCAACTCGCCGCTTCCCTTTCGGGTTCCACTCGAGCAATGGCTTGTCTAGTGATGTCACTCACTTGATGGTTTGTCTTCTCAGAGTATGGCCAATCCATCTCCATTTCTTCCCGCCTATTTGTTGCACAATTGGTTCCTGCTGGGTTGGTTCGTTCCCAGAGATCTCTGTAACTGATCTTTTCTGGCCATCTGATCTTGAGTATTGAGCGAAGACAACTGTTTATGAAGGTTTGAATTTTGTTTGAGATGCTCTTCATGACGCGCCAAGTCGTTGATCTGTATAGTAGCACTGACTGACTTCACATTGGAGTTGAAAATCCGGATCTTATTTTTGGTGCTGAGTGCTGTTGACCTCCACACAGACATGTGAGTAATGAAGGCTTGTCTTACTTTCCCGATCCTTGCTTTGATATCCTCGTCAGTTCCGTCCGCCTGTAGTTGAAACGATGCTTCCCAGGTAGGTGGGTAGGTAAAGGAGGTTGTTTCTTTCAGGTTCCTCCCATTTATGCTGATTGTTGTCTGTTATTGTTGTTGTTACTGTTGGTGGTGTCGTCCAGGAATCTTCATCACCACATCTGTTTTCTCTATGTTCACCTGAAGTCCTATCTTTGATGCTTCTTCTGCCAACTTGTTGCTTTTCGCTTGCATATCTTCCAGTTTGTGGGAAATCAGACATATATCGTCATGGGCGAAATTCAGATCCTCCAAGCTTTTTGTGTGAGTCCATTTTATGCCTGTTTCTTAATTGCCCGCCTCTGTCTGTCGCATTATCCAATCTACTGCAATCAGAAAAATCATTGGCGAAGCAGTAGGCAGTCTTGTCTTACTCTTGTTCTCACTTCGAAGGATTCCTTAAGTTTCCCGTTGTGGATTACTTGGCATGCAGCATTGTTGTACAGCCGTTGGATGAGATGTATAATTGTCGGTGGCACCCCTTGGTAGTAGCGAAGTAGTTTCCAAATCACCTCTCGATCGACGCTGTCTGTTGAATGCCTTTTCAAAGTCGATGAAGTTGAGTGAGATAGAGAGGTGACTGCCATTCCCAGCTTTGTTCAATGATGATCCTTAATGTGCCGATTTGATCAATACATGACTTGTTTCACCTGAATCCTTATTTTGATTTATTCATCTTCTTTTTACAGAATCATTCATTATCGGCTTAGGTATTGGTGGTGCAGTTAGAGTCGGTATCAGTACAGGCATAGTTGTCGGTGGTGGTGGTTATCGTGGTGTTCGTGCCTATATACCTAGACGTCGAATGATTGGAATCGGTGCAAGAGGTGTGCATATACGTGGTGGTGGTGCTGGTGGGGGTAGTGATGATGAATCTAGTAGTAGTGTACGAAAACGAACTGTACGACGTACAGCAAGAGAAGAACAACCTGAAGCAGATAGCTCTGAAACAATAGTTAAAAAGACAAGGGTTATCACGCGTGAAGTTGAAGAACCCAGTGCTCCAGTAGAAACTAAAACAAGCAAACGAATTGTTAAAAAAAGCTCTTCTGAAGAAGATATTGGCGAAGAGAAGAGTTCAAGTGTGAAGAAGACACGAACTGTCAAGAAACGAACAATAGTCGATGAAGATGATGAATTTGGTGATTTAGATGATTTTTAATCAGACTGTATCATTTGGATATTCCTAAAAACTTTTGAAATGCTTCTTTTATTTAATTATTATATTGCTGATTGATGATGATAAAGAAGACAGAACTGTTTAACTGCACATCTGTGTTTATGTACAGATTTCAGTAATAAATATTTTTGCTTCCTTTTTTTGCTTAGTGACTTTTTGTCACCGATATTTATGTGTCACTGTTGAGGTGTAAAAGACGTTTTCACTGATGCATATAGAAATATATTCTAATTTGTTTATCCAACACAGTTAGTTATATTATATGCATCTAAACCAAGTTCACTTTTAACAGTCTGACAAAAAAAACCATTTAGGCATTAGTGACTCTGATACTGTGTTTATTGAGTACTCTTCTGATATTGTCTGATGTTTCTGATCCATATAGAATGAAAACTGTTAAGGTTCATGTCTTCGGAATACGTTTTCGACCATACTTAATGTCAGTGTTGATTTTGTTGATGAAGTTCTTTGGGTAGTTGTTTAGCTTGAGAGTCTCAGTAATGTTTGATATTTCTTCTTCTTTTTCTTTCTCATCCGTTAACATCAGAGAGTGTGCTCGTCTAAGAAGACTTGAAACACCTGACACCTTTGCACTGATTCAGTGCGATGATCCGAAGTCTAAATATTTGACAGGCTGGGTTTTCTTCCTGAATATAGATATACTAAAATGTCCGTGTTCCCTTCTCCTAACTAGGCAGTCTAGAAATGGTAGTTCACCGACGTCTGATTCTGCTTCCGAAGTAAACTGGATTCTGGGAGATAGACAGTTTATTTTCTCCAGGAATGAACTGTGTAGATCTCGTTTTAGTACTACAAAAGTATCATCTACATATCTTAACCATATTTTAGGAGTGAGTATGCTTGAAAAGATTTTATTTTCGAATTTATTCATAAAAGGTCGGCGACCATTGGGGAAACTGGTGAACCCATAGCAACACCATTTATCTGTCTATATAAACTCCCTTTAAATGTAAAATAACTATTTTCTAGGCAAAATTTTAAGTCCTTAAATATTTCACTGGTGTCCAGTGGACATCTTTCTGATAGCGTTGTATCTGATTCTAGTAGACTGGAAATGATATCAAGACTTTCGGTAATAGGGATACTAGCATATAATGAGTTAATATCATAGCTTATCATAGTGTCAACTTTATCAATTTCTCGATGTTCTATTTGGGATTTGAAATCATATGAATCTTTTGCTATATTTTGAGTGTCCTTTTGCCGTAGTTGTATTATCGAAAATAAGTATTTGGAGAGGTGGTATATCAGTGAGTTGGTAAAATCTATTATTGGTCTTATTGGGACTGTAGGTTTGTGCATTTTTAGTTGACCATAGAATCTTCAGGGGATACGTAGGACTTCTGTTTTAGTCTAGACCAAAGAGAATCTCCAATTTTTGGTTTTTAGTTCTTGAAAGAATCTGTTGGCATTCAGTTGCATCCTGTTGACTTCGGCAGGTAAGTGTTCAGTCGCCTTCTACTCATAATCAGTCTTTGGACTGGACACTAGTAACTAGTGTGAATGTCTAGTCCTTTCTTTGGTGCAGACTGAATTCTGTCAGTCAGGTTTTGCAATGTGGCCACTATTCTAGGTAGCTCACCATCACGGTGCATATTGATTTGATGATATTAGATAGTTGGAGGCAATCGGCAGGAAGCCTTGGACCTAGGTTTCGTGCTAGTTGGCATGGTTGACAGATAGAATTCAGTCTACACCAAAGAAAGGACACACTAGTTACTAGTGTCCAATCCACATACCCACTACAGTCCTACAGGCAGTCAATGGCGAGCCCGAATAGCTCAGTGGTAACGTCTCTGACTGTAACACTCGGTGACGCGGGTTCGAATCTCAGAAGGGACATGAGTTCCTTTGAAGTTGCAGATACACCTTGCTGAGTGGTCAGTGCCAACTAGCACGAAACCTAGGTCAGGCAAGGCTTCCTATGGCTGATTGCCTCCAACTATCTAATATAATCAGTTCTGTTCATTATCATGGTGATGTTCCCCTTGTTGGCTTTAGTTATAATATTGTTTCTGTTGTTTTTCAAATTCTTTTGGGTTTCATATTCTTGTTTGGTGAGATTAGATGGTGTGTTTCGTTGTGTCATCATCTTCGTTAGCGGTTAAGCATGAATCATTAATTTATATAATAAGAAAGCCATTCATAATGGTAAGTTAAGAAAAAAATGTTGTGTTTAAAAGTTTCCAACCATAAATGATGAAATGCACTCAAATTGCCTAATTACGAGACACTTTGACGAACATAATTTACGGATACTTTGGAGGAAGGAATGCTTCAAAATATTATGAATAATGATTGTTTTACAACAACAGTAAGAATGACTGATATAACTGGTACGTAAAAATATTGTCTTCTTATACTATTATGAGTCATTAAGTTGTGTAGTCGTTTTAAAGCTGACATGTACGACTTTTCAGATAATGTAATATGCTCACCAGTTTTCCAACCCAGGACCTACCGCTTAAAAGACAAGCTCACAAATCATTCAGCTACCGGGACTCTACCCAAGGGCTTAGGAATTCCAACTTCTAGTAATTCATGATTTCAGCGCCACTATTAGCCAAAGTTATCCACGAGTATTTGTCCTTACTCCCTAGTGGGTAGATCACATTGGTCATGACCAGTTACTAGAACTGAAGGGAACTTCGTCACTAGCAAGCATCAAACTGATTTTCAACAGTTAGCTCATAAGAATTTGATTCATTTCATGTCACTTAGGGAAATATTGGAAACCAGCTGGGAGTAGTGTACAGATACGATGTCCTAGTTCCGGACTTATAGGCAGAACGCACCCACAGGGTTTCGAAAATGCTTCGAATTCACTAATTAGTGATAAAGCTGTGAATTTCTTGAAATTTGAAGTAGCCTGCATTTTCCCAACTCTACATATACATGTTAATGAACAACTCTGAAAGGTGGTTTATTTAGAACAATATGAGGTTCAGGTCATGCTGCTATCAGTATCTTATAAAGGACAAACGATATTGTAATGTTCAAGCATTCAGCATAGTGATCATAGGAGATTGTTTCATCTCCCTAAGCAGATACGCGCCCCATTATCTGGTGACTAATTTATGTTCATGAATAATTCCCATCCAGATATTAATGAAAGCAAAACACGTAGTTCAGTGATGAGGCTGTTCTTGAAGAATTCATCTTCCCCTGTAGCTGTACAATCGCATTTATATACAGTTTTTTCATGACAACGGGTACTAACAAGAGTGATGAGTTGTCACAAACGTAGTTGTTAATATTAGTCAATTCATAAGAGGAGTTGCGTCGGCGGCATAGCGGTAGATTGCTCGCCGACTACGCATGTGGTCCGGGGTTCGATCCCCGACCGACGCACTCCTTTACCTCACTAAGCCAGTGATAAGACTGGTTATGAGGGAAGACTGAGCATGAGACTAGCAACTCAATCCTGTAAAAATTATAAAAAATAAATTATAAAAATAAATGTATATGAAAAATACGTGTGTCGTCAGAATGTTTTAATAATAATAATAATAATTTGCTTTATTCCAAAACAGTACTTGTGATAGAGAATGGAATTCTCAGCATTTTTACTACAGTATTGCATCCAGTTAGTACATTATCAATAAATAGAATTCTACATAGATTGAGGAAACTACAGTTCATTATTACAACAATACATTGGCATGTCAGTAGCAAAGGTAAAGCTGAAACAGTGTTTGAAGGTGTTAGAAAAGTGGGAGCTGTCTTATTAACAGGCGTAAGCGAGAGAAAGAGACAAAGCAGCACATAACGGAAAAAAAGAGAAAAAAGAGAGAAAAGGAAAAGAAAGAAAGAAAATGTTGTACATATTGATGATGTGGGTTGGAAAGACGAGATCCAGTTGTACTACTGACTATTCAAAGAATTATATGTGTCACGCCTAATGGTTTCTTTATCACACAGAACACGAGCTAAGTAGGGTATGGTTGAGTTTCTGTACTTGCTATTGAGAGCATATAGTTTTCTATATTGGCTTCTTGTTTTACCTGATGAGATGCAAGGGGAGAGTTGTGAGTGAAGAGGGTGGTGTGAGTTAGATAAAATGTATTTGGCCCATTTTTCACATGAGTCCATGTGCTTGTCAACCAGAGTATTAGCAAGCTGGTTAAGTGGCACGTTGCTTACCCTGCTAACAACATTTAACATCCTGCGTAATATGTTATAGTCTTTCTTCAATAGCCCAGGAAAAACTAAGGGGGAACAATAGAGAATAATAGGCAGAATGCGAGAATTAACGAATTGTAGGAGTAAGGGTTGGGTAATACCAGAATGTTTTAACTTCTTGATGTAGAAGGTAAGACGGAATATTTTCTTAGAAATTGCTAAGATATGAGACGACCAGGAGAGATCAGCAGATAGAATGACACCTAGGTATTTAATTTCCGATTTACTTTCTATTTCAGTGCCGTCTATGTTGCATACCTCGTAAGAGCCAACCAGTTTGTTTAGGTCGGATTTATGCCTAAAGGTGAAATTGACCGTTTGGCATTTGGAGGGGTTTAGGGTAAGACCATTTTCCTTGGACCACTGGCTGATTTCTGACAGAAAGCCATTAAGTTTAGAGCAGTCGCTTTGACATTTGATAGGCAAAGATACAGACAGATCTTCAGCGTATTTGACAAAATTAATGTCATTTGAAGATGGTAAGTCATGTAGAAAGAAAGAAAAGAGAAGTGGGGAGAGTACAGCACCTTGGGGGACTCCGGCTTCAGTGAGTACAGCAGAGGATGATTTAACTTTGTACACGGTGTACTGCATTCTGTTTGAGAAGTAGGAATGCAACCAGTTAGTGACTCAAGACTCAGTTTTCGTCAAAGAGAGCTTATTTAGCAGGAGACATCTAGGAACAGAGTCGAAAGCAGAAGTGAAGTCAAGAAACGTGCAGTGGACGTACTTGGCACCTTCATCTAATGATGAGACAATGTTGTTGTGTAAGACAGCTGCAGCGTCTAATTTACTCCTACCCTGTTTATAGGGTAGGTAGCGTAAATACATTACAGGTTTCAGATACACTACGTCTTCCTACTGTGTTGTCGAAACAATTAGTGATACTAGGAGAGTACCTAAAAGATAAGGA